TCCACTATGAAAAGTAGTGTTTGGCTCAAAACCCGGGTGAAAGTGCTCCTGTTTACCTTTGAAGGCCGGTGTTGAGCAAAGGCGACAAATCCACCAGAATCATTTTATTTTCCAAAAAATCTGCGGGCAAGTTGACTTTGTGCGTGTCCTGCTCGCCTACCACAGGTTATGGCTCGCTTTTGCCAGGCCTGATCTTTCCGCTGGCCAGATGGTCTGAGCAGGCAATACCTGTGCAATACATAATTGGGATGCCTTTTGCGCAGGTATTTGCAGATCTTTATGCGGCAATTTATGCGTTCATCGCCTGGATGTTTGAAACGATTCGGTGCAGAGTTGACCCCAAGGAGGCTTGGGTTGGTGGATTGCTTTTTTTCCTTGAAGCAACGAGCCACGCAATCTTGGGGCGTCCAAAAGCTGTGTCAGGCTGAAACGGATGCTGCGGAGTGTGAGGCCGCGACTGAGGCCAGACAAATGGGGCTCTTCATGGTTGTGACGGGGTTTTCCTGCAACAATACATACTGTACTGTATAAAGTATCAAACTAAGAGTGAATAGGTGCAGGCTGGCCAACAAGAACGACAAACCCAGAATCGGTTTCATTGTTCAACAACATGCAACACGTATCCGCCAACATTGAACACAGGAACCAGCAAGAGACAACAACAACCAGCGAGGGAAATCACAAGAACCATCAACCAATCCGACAAGAGACCCAAAAACATAATCACACAGTCAAGACCAGTTGCATACAACATGATCAAGCATGCAGCAAAGTCAATTTATGTCAATTTGATCTTTTGACCGCCTTCCAGGATTTTTTGATGTCCATATCGTCGCCAGTGAGTCAGTTGGGTGAAGCAGCGGTGCTTCTCTAAACACCGTGGTGCAACCATGTTCAAGGAGCGCAGCCATGTCTGCAATCTCCGAACAAACGCCGTGGCTTGAAAAAGAAGCGGGGTGTTGCGATCAATGAACTGCAAGGTTTTTTGGCATGCGCAGGCACGCTTGATTGATTTGGAAACGGTTGACAGTTTCAGGGATTCTTCTAGTATTTTCAAGCTGGGCAGAGTCGTGGTTGTTATCCGTTTGTGTCAGCGTGGCTCAAGTGTGTCTAAGTGTGTTGCCCTGGCAATCCCTGGCAGCAAAATGACGGAGGTGCAATACATAGGGTTCGTCCTTGAAGACTTGTTCCCCCTAGTTGGGGAGCGTGTGTGTGATCGGGTGCCGCAAGAGCACAGAGCTGCGAACTTACAGTATCATTTGAATCATTTGACTTGATGCAAGATTGTACCAGGGCATGCAATGTACTTAATGTATTAATAATGTATCTCCAGGTAGTGTTTCCAGGGTTTGGATGCTGCGGCCTGTTTTGGACGTGTCTCATCGTGTCTCATTTTTTGCTGAGGCAAGAGCCTTTTGGCAGCATGATGTTCCCCAGACGTTTGAGAATGTGCACCGGAAGGTGGATTATCGGATTGCAGCGAGTCGTAAGAACATGAAGGAATCGGAAGGAATCGGGTCGAATGCATCGTAAGAATCGTCGATGTTTTTTTGCAAATTATTGAGTTGAAGCTGACGCAGGCGGCGCAACAAAGAGCTTGGGCCTGGCAATTCTGGGAGGTCTGTGTTCTCTTGTCTGTGAGATTTGGATTTTGGATTGGGCGGTCTGCAGGACCTTCAGGAGAGTTTTCTATGGTGTTGTCATCCATTGCTGGGAGATGAGCTTCAAGTTTGAGGTGTGGACCGCCGCTATTTTCTTGAAAGATCGCTGGGAAACTTTGAAACCAACAAGGAGAAAGGAGATCTAATATCCTAAATGATTTATTTTGTGTTTGTCTTAAAACACACATTCCATCTTTTTGAAACCCCGCAAAGTCTGCTTTCTGAAGCTTTGCTGGACACCGATACAAGTACATGGATTTACCGTTACCAGCCTCAGGCACTACAATGCAGTGGTGGCCTCAGACATGTCGCGGGAATCCATTTTCGGAATCTTCTCAACCGTTCTCGACTACTTCTTCCAGCAGGGTTTCGAAAAAGTCAATCATTGATTTGAAGGACCGGCTGTTGCGTTTGATCCATGCTTCACTTGATGCCAATCTACAATCAAGCATTTTTGCTGTAATTGAAGTGTCGCTGCAACTATTATTTTGTGCAAAAGCCCTGACTTTCAACTGTGAAAAGATCAAAATCCAGCCTCTCCTAATGTGCTTGGGCAGGACAACATTGTAAACTGCTCCATTGACACCTTTGAGGCAGCTGGAACTGATTTGTTGCCCACTCCTTCCAAGAGTCATGACACCTTCAACTTGCGAGACATCTGGAAAGTCTCCCAGGGAATCTGCTCTTTGAAATCGAAGAAGGTCTCAGATCCTCTTGTGACACGGTGTTTCTGTCACGAAAATGTGCGGGTCATTGCGGGTCTATGGTGACCGTTTAACCACCGACGAAGATCGTGCGTGGCTGCGGAAGTTGGGTGGCCAGCTCAGTGCGACTGGGATCGACCCTACAGTCTTCGACAGTCTGAGCGCCTCTTCGCAGATCTTCGACAAAGTTCTGGAGATCGTTTTATCCGGAGGTTGACAGTATGGGTATGTATGGGTGCCATGAAGACCATTATGGAAGGCTTCTTGGATGACTACAACATGTTCAGTGTCCCAATGCCTTTGGTCATGTTCGCCGATGCCTGTGAACATGTGGCGCGTGTGTGCCGGGTGCTTCGACAACCAAGTGGCAATGCGTTGTTAGCTGGGAATTGGTGGATCAGGTCGACAGTCTCTTTCTCGTCTTGCCAGCTTCATGTCCGAGTATGACATCTTCCAGATTGATGTTGTCAAGGGCTATGGTACTGTATGACAGAGTTAAATCATGGGCTAAAGGACCTAAAGACCTGCTTGATGAAATGTCCAATGAGCAGAAGTCACGACATTCCTCTTTACAGACACCCGGATCGTGAACGAGCAAATGGTTGAAGCCATCAACAATGTCCTGAATTCCGGCGACGTGCCCAACCTACACAAGAACGAGGACACAAACATTAACATTCCCTCTACTTGAATGTCAAAGCATGTGAGGCAAACTTAAGTACAGCACACTTGGAATCGTAGCGGACTCAATGGTTGAACTTGCAAGATGATTTGCTGGTGCTTCCTCAGTGAGTTGTGAGGACATGGACTCCATCGTGCAAGCTTGCCGAGCTGCATGTCAACAGGCATGTCAGGGTAGCCGTGCACAAGTGATTGTAAAATGGATACTGAGATGACTTTCATTTTGCGCTACAGGTCATAAATCATAAAACAATATGAAACATCATAAAACTAGAGAGTTTTGGTTTTGAATAGGTTTTGTAACAGCTGCATTTTTCCTTGGACTTCGATCTTAGGAATTTATGCTTTCTTTGTTTTGAAGAACTCGGCAGAATTCTGAACCTGCTCAGTTTTGTGCGTTGATTTGTTCCAATATTTTGTAGCTGTTCGCATCTGGAGATATGCTTGCAGGCAAATGTGTACGTGGTTCTGGCTTTCTCCCCAGTTGGTGATGCTTTCAGAACGCGTGAGGGCCCCAGCACTTTTGGGCAAGAACCGCATGAGTTCAAGTGACGAGTCGAGTCGAGTCGCTGATTTCATTAGCACGACTCAGGTCTCCGAATGGCTGACAGCATTTTTGCCAGACCCTGTACAGCGTGGGCAAGCAGCAGATGACCTTGGAGGCGGCGCTATTGATTCCGGATTGAGCATTCTCCAGCAACTCGGACACTGTCAGTTTCCAAACCTTAGCATATCCAGGATCTGAAGCTTGCCAACCTTGAAGATCTAGACAATGAGTCACTTCAGAATTGCTAACTTCCTACAGCTGAGGCTGAGGATAGGAAGTTTCTTGTTGCCTCTGCTGACAGGTGCGGGATGATGTGCAACTGGACGGGAGCGATTTGAACATCCAGAGGCCTGCCGGGTGGCATTCTGTGTAATTCTTCTATTGACTGCAATTGGTGTGATCTTATCTAACCTACAAAAAAATGACTTGCGCTCGTACGTATAATGTACTGTATGCGTTAAAGATTCAGGAAAAGGACTCAGCAGATGAGAAATCGTCCCAATTCTATGAAATTGACGCGGCCCCACAATGGAGCCAAGAATTCTTCGACGTGTGGTCCAAAGGCCACCTTTGACGTTAGAGAGGACGATTTGCAGAGCTCCCCAGTGAGAACCACAGGTTCCAGAGGCCATATTTGGCCGATAGTGAACCCTGATGACAATTGACAGCAGCTCAGCAGTTCCTTATCACAGCAGTTGCAAAAAGGCAGCTTCGACATGAGCAGTTCATTTTTTTGGCAGACTGAGATACTTTGTCAAGTGTGATTGTGTGATCCGCCATTTGCCATCTTACCATGGATCACTTGACCTGCAGCGGTTCAAACTACCCATGACCAGAGACAGAAAACTAGCAGTCGAGTCCAATGGAAAGACTATTGCTGTTTGCAGACAGTCTTGATCGAAGTTGCTAGCGCAATTGTGGGATCCAACAGAGCCACGAACGGAGTTCGACCGTCGTGTCTTTATCGGTCAAGGATTGTGACACCTTTAAAAATTGCTGCCGCTTGAAGCCGACATGTGAAACTGGGGAAGGACACCACAAGGAGCTTCTGATTTGAAGTGCGAGATCTGCAACCAGGGTTGCAAATGTTTCCATAATATGTTTGCACCATACAATTTTTGGACCAGCTCTGGTGTTCTGCATTCCCAGCTAGGACTACCAGGGCCCGAAAAGATGTCGGTACTCTCTGGTGAGGTTCACTGATGGCTGAGGGGTCAGGTATGCGAGGTATGAGGGCGGCCAAATCATTCCTTACCAGTGGCACATTTCATTCTAAGCAAACTGCAACATCGAAAATCATAGAAAGTCTAGGTATGTCTAGGTATGATTTGAAATCGTCTTCTGGTTTTCCCGCATTTTCCAGCTGTGTCACTGGTCGTTGCATGTTGAAGTTACCTTCGCCAGTCCATGGGGAACCGCGTGGCTGCAAGTACGGCCTTGCGCAGTGTGGCAGTTGCCTCAGTCACTTATTCTAGGCACTTTTGTATAGGTCGTCATGTGGGCCCTTTGGCCAATTTTATTAATAGCCCAAACAGACAAAACCCAAACAAATTCCAAATCAATAAACACATATAAAATCATATAAACACATTCTGTGCATCCTGCCCCGTCTTGGATTTCTGAATGGTGTCCATGACCGCAATTCAACCCATTCTGCCGTGATTTTTAGGGTGGAACCCACGGAACCAATCTGGAGAAACCCAGTAGCATTTGCAGGGGGTGGCTGCAAATGGTTTTTCTATCACCATATACAGGTTTCCTAAAATGGGGGGTACCCATGGGTACCCCTAAATCATCCATTTTTGATAGGATTTTCCATTATAAACCGTATAAACCATCCATTTTGAGGTACCCTCATTTTAGGAAACCCCCATATCCTGGTTATCCCGGCGGCCGCTCTCAGATCTTGGCTGCCACGGCCTTCAGCAATGCCTCCTCTGCGGCCAGCACTGCTGCAGAGGAGTTGGCGGATCTGCGACAGAGCTGGAAACAGGCGCAGGCCATGCAACGGATGCAACGGGATTTCTGATTGAAACAGATTGAAGAGTTGATAATGAGGAAACAATACAATGAACGCAACGATTCAACATGGTGATATGATGTGAATATGTTAAATATGTTCATGTGTTCATTTCGTTCTTAGTTTTGCAATTTTTCCCGAATGCGTAGCAAGGGTTCCCGTTTCACTCTGGGGGTCTGGGGGTTGAGAGTGTGTTCGCTCGACGTTGCGTCCGCGTCCGCAACCGTTCGCAACCGTCCGCAACCGTCCGCAACCGTTCGTACGAACTCCGTATGGCCGTGCCTATGGGAAGTTTTGCAGAGGTGGTCATTTTTGGAGGTTTCAGACGTGTCGTTGCTTCGTTTCGCGTGGCAGGCGTGGCACTTTGTGACATTCAGACGTGTTTTGCAACGTGTTGAAAATCGTTTTGCGTGGCAGGCGCAATACTTTTGTGACTTTTTTAGAAGATGTGTTGCAGTTTTCGTGGCAGGCGCAGCACTTTGGACGTGTCCATCGTCATTTTTCGTGGCAGGCGCAGCACTTTAGACGTGTCCTGTTGCGTGTTTTTTGTAAATCGCATTGGCAGGGCTGCGTCAAGTGGCGACAAGGTGCAAATTCCATGGCAGGCGTGGCATTTTGTGCGATGCGCTGAAAATTGACGGAAGCCTCGCACGAAACATCGATTTTGAGGTTGCAAATTTTCAGGTTCTAAGGAAAACTCGTAGGAAAACGTCGATTTTGAAGCTGCAAAGTGTCAAAATTGGAGGAAGTCTCGCACGAAATGCTCGTTGTGGTGCTCCCACCTGTCTCGTCTCGCGTCTCTGGTTTTCCCGTGGCCTCGCCGTGTCTATGGGGGAAGCTGCAAAACTTGTCTTTTTGTCATGTTGCCAACTGTGAAAAATGCCGGAAGTCTCGCAGAAAATGCTGCTTTTTCTGCATGCACGTGTCTTGTCTCGAGTCGTTTGTTTTTCTGTGGCGTCGCCGTGTCTATGGGGGAAGCTGGAAAACCTCTCCTTTTCGAAGGTTTCCAAGGAGGTTGTCATGTTGTTTTGCATGGCAGGCGTGGCTCGCTGCTTTTCCTGTGGCGTCGCCGTGTCTATGGGGGAAGCTGGAAAACATGTCCTTTTCGAATGTTTCCAAGCAGGTTGTCATGTCGTTTTGCGTGGCAGGCGTGGCACTTTGTGACATTCCAACCTGTTTGATAACATGTGGAAAATATCAAAATTGGAGGAAGTCTCGCACGAAATGCTTGTTTTTTCCCGAATGCGTAGCAAGGGTTTCCGTTTCACTCTGGGGGTCTGGGGGTTGAGGGTGTGTTCGCTCGACGTTGCGTTCGCGAGCGCAACCGTCCGCAACCGTTCGTGTGAGGACCGTATGGCCGTGCCTATGGGAAGTTCTGCAGAGGTGGTCATTTTTGGAGGTTTCAGACGTGTCGTTGCTTCGTTTCGCGTGGCAGGCGTGGCACTTTGTGACATTCAGACGTGTTTCGCAACGTGTTGAAAATCGTGCAGCACTTTGGACGTGTCCATCGTCATGTTTCGTGGCAGGCGCAGCACTTTAGACGTGTCCTGTTGCGTGTTTTTTGTAAATCGCATTGGCAGGGCTGCGTCAAGTAGCGACAAGGTGCAAATTCCGTGGCAGGCGTGGCATTTTGTGCGATGTGCTGAAAATTGACGGAAGCCTCGCACGAAACATCGATTTTGAGGTAGCAAATTTTCCGGTTCTAAGGAAAACTCGTGGGAAAACGTCGATTTTGAAGCTACAAAGTGTGAAAATTGGAGGAAGTCTCGCACGAAATGCTCGCTTTGGTGCTCCCACCTGTCTCGTCTCGCGTCTCTGGTTTTCCCGTGGCCTCGCCGTGTCTATGGTGGAAGCTGCAAAACTTGTCCTTTTGTCATGTTGCCAACTGTGAAAATTGGAGGATGTCTCGTACGAAATGCTGGTTTTTCTGCATCCACGTGTCTTATCTCGAGTCGCTGGTTTTCCTGTGGCGTCGCCGTGTCCATGGGGGAAGCTGGAAAACCTCTCCTATTCGAATGTGTCCAAGCAGGTTGTCATGACGTTTTGCGTGGCAGGCGTGGCGCTTTGTGACATTCCAACCTGTTTGATAACGTGTCGAAAATATCAAAACTGGAGGAAGTGTCGCACGAAATGCTCATTTTTCTGCATCCACGTGTCTTGTCTCGAGTCGCTGGTTTTCCTGCGGCGTCGCCGTGTCTATGGGGGAAGCTGAAAAACATCTCCTATTCGAATGTGTCCAAGCAGGTTGTCATGTCGTTTTGCGTGGCAGGCGTGGCACTTTGTGACATTCCAACCTGTTTGATAACGTGTCGAAAATATCAAAACTGGAGGAAGTGTCGCACAAAATGCTCATTTTTTTGCACCCACGTGTCTCGTCTCGAGTCTCTGGTTTTCCTGTGGCGTCGCCCTGTCTATGGGGGAAGCTCCGCACTCCCCACACTACACTTTACTCTCCACACTTCACAATTTACACTTTAAACTCCACACTCTACACTTTACACTCCACACTTTACACTTTGCACTTTACATTCCTCACTCCTCACCTGAGACTTTACACTCCACACTCCACACTTTCCACTCCTCACTCCTCACTCCTCACTCTACACTTTACACTCCACACTTTACACTTTGCACTTTACACTCCTCACTCCTCACCTGAGACTTTACACTCCACACTCCACACTTTACACTCCACACTCCACACTCCACACTTTACACTCCTCACTCCACACTCCACACTCCACACTCTACACTTTACACTCCACACTTTACACTCCTCACTCCACACTTTACACTCCACACTTTACACTTTACACTCCACACTCTACACTTTACACTCTACACTATACACTCCACACTTTACACTTTACACTCCACGCTTTCCACTTTACACTCCTCACTCCACACTTTACACTCCATACTTTACACTCCACACTTCACACTCTACACTTTCCACTCCACACTCCACACGCTACACTCTACACTCCACACTCTACACTTTACACTCCACACTTTACACTCCACACTTTACAATCTACACTTTACACTCCACACTTTGCACTTTACACTCCTCACTCCACACTCTACACTCCCCACTCCACACTTCACACTCCACACTCCTTACTTCACACTGCACACTCCACACTCTACACTTGCCACTCCACACTGCAGAGTGGTAACAAGGGAAACATGTACAAGACTGTTCAAATAAACTATTGCAGAAAGGTATTGTGCCTGACTGCATATCCATGTGTTTTGACATCTGTGCCATTGACATACGTGTGAGCATTCGGGTTCGTGGGCTGCATCTTGTTCATTTTTTCATGTTCCGATTCTGCCCTCCATCCCCCTTCATGGTCCTGTTCAACGTGCTTTGCCACCCGAAGGCCTCCAAGCTTCGTCGTTCCACATCCGCACCCTACATGAATCCAGCTCGCTTGAAGGCACAAATCCTGGTGCCCTGATGGGATGTACTCAGAACGGCATGGTTTCAGACTTTTTCACACCAAAAGCCAGAAACTGTGTGGGTACATTGGAACCACCCATTTTGACCCTTAGACCCATATGATGATATAATTAATGATCTATCCATATTATCTACCCCTTACATTTCGGCGGGTTTTCAACATTTTGGTGATTTTAGATAATGCCTACATCCTGTCATGTGGGTTAGCCAGGGGTCATCAATCCTGGTTTGATTGTTTGAAGATGTTTGAAGATCTGGCAGTATGTGAGACGAAGTGAGGAAAACCACCACCAATGATTCAATGTCGTAGCGGGTATGTGTCTTTTCAGCGATTTTTCAACATCAGATTCCGAGATCCCAACACCATCCAACACCTCTCATAAAAACATGTCCAAGGTATCCATATATTTCATGGCATGGCAACGAACATGACAGCGATTCCAGGATCGAGATGAGAGATCTGACAGCCTGAGCAAGATCCAAAGTCAGAATCAGGCTGCGCAGGAGAAAAAAAATCATAGTCTTAGCATCTTAGCATAGTCTTAGCATAGTCTTAGCATAGCTGTGCAGCGTTGGATCCAACCTTTGACCTTTCCCGGATGGGTGAAACATGTGAAACTTGAAGGTCTCAAAACTTGATGGTTCGCTGGTCATTTTCAGTGGTTACGAGGGGAGAGACAAGAGTCAAAGTGAGATGTTTGCACCATGTTTGCACCTCAGGAGCGAGCAGATGCCGCCCTGGCGAAACATCGGCAAACTCGCCAGCGCTTTCGCAAGCCCCAGGTGCTGAGCACCCAGGGGATCCCAGGGGCTGTTCAGTCTACAGTGTCTACAGGTGTAGGATGGACCAACAAGAGCCCCAAAGATGTCTTCCTGTAAAATGTTTCCGTCACTGATTTTCTCAGTGGGTTGTGGATGAATAAAGGGTGACAATTCCTTCAAGAAAGTATTTTGGCGTATTTTTAGCACCAGAGAAGAAATTGTTGAGAGTCGCACTATCAGCAGCTTTAATCTTGAGTGAGTGCCACCAATTGGACACTGGTCATCTTCGGTTATGATACCTTGTTTTTGTGCATTCGTGTATCCAATGATGTCTACCCATGGCGGAATGGGTAAATTGGCCCAGATGGGCCCATTGACAGCGTTGACAGCAGCGGATTTCCAGGATGAGAGTGGATCTATGGAGGAGTTGGCGGTTTACAGTTTTCAGATGTTTTCAGATATGTCACATATGTCACATGATACCCGGCCTGGTAAACCTACAAAAAGCTATGGAAAGATCCACCATGCTATTAATGGGAAAACTCACTATTTCGACTGGGCCATTTTCAATAGCTTTTTGTATGTTTACCAGGCCGGGTATGTCCTTTTCAGATTGAGACTGGCCATGACTGCAGTGATCCCAGCTTGTCCAACGAAGCCAGGAGGCAGATCTCAACGGGATCTCTTTCGACCTGGAACGCAGCAGGATCCGATGCTGTTTCTCTGGAGCGATTCAACAGGAAACCATAGGAAACCTATAACGGTAGTCCATGGTAGTCCCATGTTTACCTGGGAAAAGGGTCAACATAGATCAACCACCAAGAGCTTTGGACTTTTTTCTTTCCTACGCCCTTACCCAACTGTGCTCCTTGCAGGTGGCTCAAAGGAACAGGTGCAAGGTACATCAAGGTACAAGCAGATTTGATCCAGGTTTCACTTGCGGTGAATATCATCTGAATATCCAATGAAGATATGCAGAACTCTTCTCATAGACAGCCCTTGCCCTATCTTGCCCTTGCCTTTGCAAACCGCCACATGATTGATGCCTGTGACCACGTCCCGATTCACGGCACCACCATCTTTGGCCGTTCACCGAAGTTGAGGGATGTGTGACTTGGATCTTGGATGATCTTGGATGGTACTGGTTGCCTCAAAGAATGCCGCATTTCAAAAGCTCATTTTCGATGATGTTTTCAAGTGTCTCGTGGACAATTTTAAGGCGCGGATGATGGAATGATATGGAAATATATGGAATGTACTTTGAGTTGATTTGAAACGGCTGGGTCCCTTTGCAGCTAAGGCGTAGAAACCTTCAGGGCTACACCCGCTGCTTTCGGCCCCAAGACTACTACAGTTATCAGAAACTGGCAGAATCAGTTGTTTGGCGACTCGGCAAAAGGGGTTGTGTAGATTGTGGGTCAATTCATAGCTCTCCATTTTTCCTTCAGCTTCATTCGCTGCGCACAACTGAAGTTGCGCTGGTTGGCAGTGCCTCTAAGGGCTGAGATCCTTTTCGACGAAAGAACCAACGGCGCCAAAGATTTGCGCAAGCGCTGTGTGTTTGCATCAGCAACGTTGGGCCTGCTGCTATGTCTCACTCTCTTTCCATGGCCCGCTGTCCCTGGGGTGAAATTTGGTGGGGAGGCTGGGACGGCTGAGTGGAGCGGATGTGCTTGCAGCGTCTTAGAGTGTGATGCAGCGGGTCAAACATTTGGAGGTGTCCCACACAACAAACCATTTCGGGTTGTTTGATTTTGGTATATTTTGGTATTTGTGAGCTGAGGTCATGGAAGTTTTTCAACCGACTTTGCCACCATCATCCTACAATGTCTACAAAGGCTTTGAGGACAGCAGCGAAGTTCTTGCTGCCAAAGAGGCTGGACATGGCTGGTCATCATGGGTTTAGCTGCAGTGAACCATGTCCCAGCCCCAATACGGTCCATGCTGCTGGGCTCTTTCGTTCAGGTTCTCTTGTCCTTGAAAATTGCTTTTCTGGCACCCTGGACATCAACTTCTGCGATTACTTGGCCGTTTTTTGCGTGCCTTTGTCTGAACTGTTGTTGAATGCATATCTGCATATTATGCTCTTGCTGCAACGAGGGTATGTGAATCAAACCTCCTGTTCTCAGCTGTCTTTGGAGAATCCATCATTGGGTACAGATGGGAGCAGGCAGACACCCTTTTTCAGACGATTTGGAGCTCATGCAGACGAAAACAGGTTCAACCACATCAGAGAAAAAGAATGTGATGAATAGCCCCTCAAGCCTTAACAAGCCTTAACAACCCTTGATCTGACCCTGAGGTTACTGGCCATTCTCTCCGAACGTTTGGCAAATGTTTGGGCTCCAGACACCGACTCCCAGATGGAACGCCTTTGGAAAAGCTGGCTGAGCTCAGGTGGAGTACAAATGAGTACGACAAGATAGTCGTTTCACCATCTGTCGTATACTTTCCTGTGTACTTTCCTGTAGTTTGCTGATCTTTTGCTGTGGATAACCCATTAGCCCAGCTGGATGCAAAACGTATTTGTTTTCAATCAAAAGTGGTCGCGATGCCAAAAGATGGTACATTTGTTTTCAATCAGCGGCCTTGCATGTTTCAAATGTGACCTGGAGGCAATTGGTCGGTCCCAGATGTGGAAGCTGGTGAAAGCCGCAGTGGGCATCCGTGTGATGCAGAGATTGCCCTCTCAGCAGCCCATGCCGCGGCGCGCGTGCAGCCCATCACGACTGAATTTCAGAGTTGGGTAGCATGGCAGCTAAGTCTGCTGCAGTCTGGCTGTGATGGCTTGTTCTCAACCATCCAAGTGGACAAGAGTTCGGGGTTGTTCAGCAGACTTCCAGTTTTCAGCTTGAGCTACAAGACATTACAAGACTGCTTCGGAGCATTTCACAGCCGTGAGTCTTGAGTCTCTTCGTCACATTTGCTTCACTACCCAGGACAGCTTATCCTTGGCTCCTGCTGCTGCAGCCCAAAAAGTGGTGGGACCCTCAGTTTTGGCCATTAAATGGACCTTCGATCATTTCAATATATTTCAATATATTTCAATATATTTCAACATATTTCAACATATTTCAATATATTTCAATATATTTCAATAGTGATGGTCTGTGGATGTCTGTGGTCTTGGTCTGTGCACCTTTATGTGTGTGACAAAGGCATCGTTTCGATGCAAGATTGAAACTGACAACTCAGGTCTGGCAATGCTTGGAGGACAGATCTGGGGGGTCACCTGGGATTTGATACCCCCAATGGTTAGGTGTGCCAAATTAGCCAAAACTCCTAAGTGACAGCAATGTAAAAACAGGGTCATTGCAGTCCCAAATTTGAGAATTTGGAGAAAAGGCCGGATATGAGCAATATAAAAACAGGTCTAGTCGCCACAGGAGTTTCAAGATGAAGGTCTTGTGCGGTTGGTCACAACACCTTGGGCTACACTTTGGAGAGGTGAGCTACGCAGGGCGCAGGGACAGCCACGATATTGACCAACGTTGACAGCTTCTGATATCTTCTGACAATAGATATCAATAGATTGTTTGCTTTTATTTGCTCTTTTTGCGTTTCCAACTGTTTGGAGAGAGTCATGAATGATCTAGTTTGTTGAACTTCACCTGGCCATTTTATTGAATCGATTTGGTTTGACAGACCAATCTTTAATGGCCATCAAGAAGGAGTCAGATCTTTCTGGTTTTGGATGTTTCAATATTGCCATTCCTTCTTCGTGGCTGACACTGATATCATCAAGACAACTTGTGTCATTGGCAAAAGGCTTAGAAAAGAACTTGGAAATCTGTGCTGCTTCTTCGTCAGGTTTGTTAGATTGAACGAATTTCCAGCTATGGAGAACTGCAGGCATGAAACACCCTTTTAACATTGCGACATACCATGACTTAAAGGGCAAGAAGATGCAACAAAATCAAGAAAGAACTCAACAACAATTCGATAAATCCTGGATGAATCATAAATGAATCACAGATAAATCATAGATGAATGGATGAATGGGATTCTACATGATTCTTATAATTCCAGGGTAAGCTGATGGCAGTTGATGGATGCACCTGTCTTTCCAGGCCTAGACCGACTCACCGCTGCAAGAGACGTCACCGTGTCGTTGAAGTTCAGAATGGAAGAAGCCAGGAGAGAAACATAGCCAAAAAAAACAGTCAGTAATAACACATAAAGTATGTAAAAAAAACACCAGGCTTCTGGTTATCAACATTATCAACCTGAAACCTGAAGCAGCTGAGTGTTGTTCAGAATCATTTGGAGTCACATGAGTTTCAATCTAGACTCTAGACATCGTTGGCAAAGGCAAGCATCAACTGTAGCATTTCCTGGACGGTGGAGAGTTGCGACCAGATGGTTGGCCGGTTGTCCCCCCTGGAGGATCCACTTGTCTGAGGGAAGCCGGATTTTGTTGGCGAACAACAGCATGCCAGTGACTTTCCCTATGAGTCTTCATCCTCCACACATTCTGGGACTTCCAGATGCTGAAGATGGCTACTGGTTCCTTGGACCATTTTTCATCTGTCAAAATCTGTCATACTTGGGGTTCTGCAGGTTCCCCTTTTTTGTGCCATTTCGAGACCATGTGCGTCAGGATTTCAGCAGGGTGAACACCACGAACACCACGACACATGTTCGACACGTGTCCCACACCATTCCACACCCAAGGTTCCTGGCTGATCGCATCAGGGCCTTTGAATCCCCACACTGCAATCCTGCCGCAAGACTGCATCTGCATATAGCTGCATCATGAATTTCCAGGAAACATGCGTTAAAGGCCATGGTCAGACAAGCTGGCCCTATTGCGACAAGCTGGCCGCTGGCCCTATTGAAAATTCAACGCAAGCTGGATTTGTTTGAACTTGATGTCTTCAGATTTGGGGAGAGGGCGTTCATACTGTATGCGTTCATTTTGATCAAAAACACAATGATGATATATCAAGCCTTGTCGTCGTTGTCCTCCTCCTCCTCGTCCCTCCTCGTCCCTCCTCGTCCCTCCTCGTCCCTCCTCCTCCTCCTCCTCCTCTTCAGCATCAGCATCAGCATCAGCATCAGCATCATCTCGAGCACGAAATCACGAAACCAGCACCTTTTTTATGTGTTTGGCTTTTAACTCGGCCTTGGCACCATCAGGCTTTCCAGGCTGTGGCGGAGATGCTCGACTTCCACCGGCCGCTTGGCTGGTCCACGTCCCGTATCTTCCACGGAAAACACGATGCTAAACCATTGGCCTTTGAGCAGCCTTTGCACAAACCCGCATGATCCCATTACTTTCATGTCCAGTCTCGGGTTTGCCATTTGGTTGATGTCAGTTGCGATTTGTCAAACCATCACAGTGGTTTTGTTTCAAACAAAAAAACTGTCCGGAGTGACAGGGAGCAAATATCATGCAATCTACTGGGGTGTGCTGAAGTACTTGGATTGGGCTTAGGACATTGAAGGGAAGCCACTGGCCACTTTATTTGGTCGACATAGGCAAGGGCTACAAGTTTTGTTGGTTGCATGTTTAGCCATGGATAGCGATGAACTTGCGAGATTTGATGCTATTTGGCATTTTGCCGCATTTTACCATTGGTGGATCCATTCATCATGCTGGCCAGGAGCTCATTTGGGCGACTGCTGCTTGTGGGCAGCATCTCGATGGCCCACAGGCGACGTTTTTTTGTTAAGAGTGGTGAAGGAGGAAGGATCTGATCTGATAGGTCCCTGTCCTGTGCTCAGATTGCTGTCAGATTGCTGCCATGGTAGGCTCTGGTAGACCTGTCAAGAAGAACTTGATTCAAAGTCCCCAAAGTCCCCAAAGTCCCCAGGAGCCAACATCCTGGCAGTTGAGATGAGACAAGATCACGCAGCGAACATTCGCCGTGCATCGAAACTGGCGCAGCATCCTGAAGGTTGGAAAGAGACTATGAGAGATTACCTATACAAGTTGAGCCATCTCAGTTTTTGGATGTACAGTACTTTGAAAGCCGCATGAAGCTGCAATGCCGATTGTTAGAGGCTATTTCGACCTAATTACTAGTGGATTATGTTGTCAGTTTATGGTTTTCACATGTTCTCATGTTTTGGGTCTGGCATTTATTTCGGGCAAAAGTGCAATAATGAATTGTTTGGGACATTTCGGGGCAATTTTATAAGCGTTCGAAGCAGTCATCTATCATGTTGCGCGGAAATCATGCTGGGCCAATCTTACCTGCAAGTGAGCCATTACTTAGAGAGAATGATTCAATGATTGTGTGCCAGTTAGCCTGAAACAAACTAGTAGTTGAACCTCGAGAAGCATACAATGGCAGGGGGACACCAAGATGGAACAGTATCTATTTACAGATATATACAGTATATATTTGCCCTAAGCAAGAAAACATCATTGAAGGGTAACAGATGCACCCCGACAGATGGGACTAGGCCTGAAATCTCACGTCAGGTGTGCTGCAAGTCCGAGCCACCAAAGTGGTTGCAGAAGCCGATTGCAATCAGGAGGATGGGACTATGGAACAGTTGAAAGATTCATGTTGACGAATGCTTGATTAAAAAGTGGTCAAACACTCCGACATTCGGTAATTGTGTGGTTTCCAAGGGGGTTTTCAGATTCTTTCAGACCAAACTGAGGCTGAAAGCCGAAGGTTAGACATCTCCATCCGCAGACATGTTGGATTTCGATCCCAGGAGGTGTCCACCGTGGATTGCTTTTTGGACCACTGGGCTCCCAGCGAAGTTCACCTTGTACCGTGGCACATTGTTTGCATATTGGCTCATCAGCAAGTCGTTTCGCACCGAGGTCAGCATGTACCTGGGAAATGGCTTGGAACTGAAGGCCCTCCATGGAGCTCTCAAATCGCTACGAACTGGTCGTTTGCAAGGTGTTTTGGTCAGGACCCGCCGGAATTGTGCCAATTTATGTTGCGAGAGGCGAGATTCCAAAAATCGGAATTTATTAAAACCATCGACCATTGCAAAGAACCAAACAAAACGTTGGAATTATCACGAACAACCATAGATCTTTCAAAGTGACCCAAATCTGTGTGTTTCAAAAAGATCTGTTTAAGTGTCTTCCAAAGTGACCCTGTACCATGCGAGGAGCACAGAGACTGAAGTGGAAGTCTTCAGGAAATTCGTGGAGGATTTGCAGAGTTTCTGAACAGATCTGTCAGATTTGTTTTTTTTTACAGCTTTCTTGCTGTGCATGGCAATGCGCAGCACTTTGTTTACCCATTGTTTACCCTTCCCATGTTTACCTTGGAAACACCAGAAGAAGAAGTAATTGGCTGAAATCAACCACACTCGTGAGTTTATGCTTTCTTGGTTATATATTTTTCTTTCCTGGAGAGGAACATCAGCTACCATATCGGATTGTCACTCTTCGAGTGGATCACGATCTTCTCTTTGTGTTGCGGTTTGGCAGCATTTGCAGTGGTTCCTGAGAGTTCCGAAGGTAAGCAGGAAAATAGTTACAACAGATTTGATGAAATACACCGCTAGAGCATCAGGTGAAGGTAGGCACATACTTAGTATCCAAGCACATTGAAGCACCTTTGCGAACAAGGTCTGGATCCTTCTTGGACCTGTTGCTGTAGAGCCGTCAATCGGGGTTCGAAGCGCGCAAGAAAATAGAGTTGCGACGGGCTGAGGGCTTTGAAGGTGGTAAGTGATATCTTTTGAATTCTTTTTGGCTATCTTAAGAGAATGCAAGTGATGTTTTTGCTCTACGGCCACCGTGGGGCATCCTTTGGTCCTCCCCGGTCCCTGGGGTCCCTGGGGTCCCTGGCAGGAAAGAAACTGCTGTGGCCATTGCCAAAGCTGCAGAGGTGCGGACGGAGCTGGCTGCATCGCAGCTGGAACTCACCGAAGAACGGCAGGCCCCGCCGCCCAGCCTGAAATTTTCCGTGGAAGTTCATTAAATAATGGCTAAAACAGTAAATTATAATGGGAATTATAGTGGGGATGAACCATTGTATGAAGATTATGAAGTTTTCAAAGTTGTAGCTTGCTCATGTTGGCTCATGTGCAATGCTATTTTCAGGGGCAAACACTGATTTCCTCGTTTTTCTGACCTGATTGATCTCAGGCCAAGAGAAAGCTGAATGAGCAGACGGACTATTTGAATCAGTTGATTCGCAAAACGGAGGTCCGACTCCAGCTCTGAGACAAGTCTGAAGCGTCTGAAGGGATCGGTTCATTCACATTCATAGCACTGGACCAATCCTGAACTAAGGATGACTCGCCTCACATGATTTGAAAATCAAAACAGTTCACTACTCTTATAGGAGGATATAGGAGGTTCAAGTAAGATCAATTTAGCACCCAAAAATTCAGCAACGGCAGGGAAATGCAGCCAGCTTGCGAGAGGAGCTGGCTCGTGCCAGGACCGGATTTTTTGGATGATTTGGTGATTTGTAGTACCTGGTCCAACCAATATCTCAACTACAGTAGGTAGTAGAACCAAAAGATCCAAAAGGTGAGTTGTTGGAATAACCTCTTCAAACCTTTCCAATTACCGGTTGTTCCATGCTGTTCTGTTTGTTTTAGAAGACTCTGAATCATCCACAGATCATCATGATCATGAGCAGCTGCCAGGGCTCAACTTCTTTCAGAGGCACAGGAAGCAGATCATGCTGCCAAGGTGCCATTGGCGGCGTCATTGGCAATGCGACTCAACCAGGGTTGGGAGGGTTTCCTAATCACCCAGTTCAAATCAGGATAGAGATGATGGTACCCTTAAGCTTATTAAACTTGTTAAGAATTGATTAGTCCATCAACTGCTGGGGGCATATCAGAACCAACTAGATGTATGCTGTTGTGTGCCATGATTGGTCTCTCGTTTTTTTAAACCCAAACAACCAGACAGGCGACATTCAGCAGCTCAACCCTGAGCTGAAAGACGAGTAGCCGCTCTTCCAAGCTTTGACATCATCAGTACCCCTTCACAACGCATTTAGTTCAAGCTACTTGTATCTACTTGTCCAGTTGGTTAAGTAGCCATCAAGGTCTATCATCATGAATTATATGTTGCTTTATGTTGATGATAGAGTTGATAGATGATGAATGATGATAGAATAGTAGCAATTACAGATAATTACAGCCTACTAAAGACTATTAAATAGATCTAAACATTTAAATAGTGCTTTACACTGCTTAAAGGGTTGCCATATGTTGCCATCGATTTTCTTCATCGCTTCGCCGTAGGCCGCCCGAGAGCTGGCTGCGGGCCTGGCAGAAGCGCGGGCTTCGCAAGCTGCCCGGGAGGCGCAGGCGCGGAATGGAGATGTCGCTGTCGTGGTCCCAAACATCCCAAACAGGGCAGTGTGATAAGCTGAGTAAAATACGGAAAAAACGGAGAAGTTATTGTAAAATCTTGTAAATGTGATAATGAATTGAAATGTGTCTTTTGACGCACCAGAATGATTCTTGGTGTAAAGGTATCATTATATCAATATGACTATAGATGTAGTTGGGGTATGTTGGGGTGCAACACTACCAATTTTGGTTCTGTGGGTGACCAGTTGGACCTCGCTGATCTGGGTTTCAAGGAGGCCAACCTGAAGATTGCAACGACCTCGACCTCAGAGATGCTTCTGCGAAGTCAAGAGGCGGTGATGGATGTACCATGGGTTCATACGGGTTCTGACACCAGTCAACTCGGTCAGCTACTTGAGTAGAAGTGGAAGATTCTGGAAGATTGGTAAGTTTACCAAGTACTTAATTTACTCCCTTTACCTTTCAGTTTTCGCTATATGCAATTAAAAAACCATACAACGTTGTGTAAGTAGAATGTTTGACTTCTTCAAAAAGATGAACTTTCCCAGCCTTGACCAGAGCAATTGTCTGCTGGGCCATCCTGCCATCCTGTCCTACCTGCCAGGCTTCACGACGGCAAGTTGCATCACTTCTGGCGTCTGCTCTGGAGCGACTGGTGCACCGCGCATTTCACGCGTGGCACACTGCGAAGGCCGGGGGTTGGGCGGTGTAATATCTCTGTGGCGGATATTGAGCAACGACTCAACATTCCAAGGACAGGCTGTAGTTTGTATTATCGCCATTATTGTTCTACTTACATCAAGTTACTCTAGTTCTAGTTTGAGGGGTATACGGTATACGGTATTGTCATGATTTGGATGATTCACATCTGTGGGTTGAACTGCATCGCAGGCTCTGCGCCTCCAAGCAGAGCAAGCACAAGAAGCTTTGGCACAAAGGCTTGGTTCGTCGATGGTGGTTGAGCATTCTGTCGGTTCATCATGACATTGATAGACATTGATTCTGAAGATGACTCTGATTCACTCACAGTCACTCATGGTCATGAATCGCTCCTTTGAGGCGAGAGCTGGAAGAAGTGCGAGCGGAGTTGGCAGCAGCCCATGCCTCAAGAGATCTCAAGAGGAAACCTGCAAAGAAATCCGGGAGTTTGGAGGATCGACGGCATTGTGAGGAATGCTTTTGGCAGGTTATTGAAATCGGAAAAAACTATTTGAACCAATGATGTGTCCATGCACTTGGGGAAACTTGGTCAACACACCAATCCAGTTGCAAAGTGGTTGCTTGCAAGAAGACAAACCAGCTGCCAAAGGGCTGCCAAATCCTCGCATCAGATTGTGCATTGCAGCCCTTTGCATCTTTGCAATCTGGAACTTTCGAATTCAATTGACTGAAGATAGAACAAGAAATTGCTGACAAATGGATACAAATGGTGGATTTTGCAAACCCACAAGGCCAAAAGAAGCTACCAAAAGTGGTTTTATGTTGGAAACGTCACAGTAACGTCTCAGCTCAGGCAGCTTCTTGTCCGGAATGTGGTAGCATCTACTTGGCCGATGCGGTGCAGGGGACCAAGCCTCATTGATCACAAGCTCTTTGAGTGTTCATCTTCCATTTTTTCGGCCATCAAAAAGCTCATCAGAATGATGTTTTCAAAAACCCAAATCGGAAAAATGTTTGGATTCAAATGGATTCAACAACATGTCATTTCTTTTCCCTGTGTTTTTGTTTGCTTTAGCCAATCCTTGTCTTGAAAGCTCCTGACTATTGAACATCATTTTTCTGTTCTCCGGCAAAATTCGTTCAAGTTTCCACCGGCGTCAAGGTTCTGCCGCCATTGTGGCCGAAAACGTGACCAGGCACCGGGAGAAGCCAACAGAAATCCATAGCGATATCAAACGATATCATAACGCAACTGTTGGGTGAGGAATAGAAAGCTGTAGATATCTGTGGATTTCTTCAATCTCTTTGCCTCCAGCTTTCAAAAGTCTAGAGGTTCACAACACAGCAACATGTAGTTGGCTCGGCACCACTGTTCGTGGCACAGCTCCGAAGGTGGACGAAGAGACGTTGGCAGAAGCCAAAGAGGCATCAAACCTCAGGAGCCGAAACCCGGTGATACCCGGGGACATTGCAAGTCAGAACAAGGTTGCACGCTATTGCACGCTAGTGCGAATTCAATATTGGACGTGATCCAAACGGAAACCATGCTAAGATATCCCAGGATATCTTATAGACTTAGAGAATCTTAGAGAATCTTAGAGAATCTTAGAGAATCTTAGAGATATATAGACCCGAGCCACACCTTTCCGAAATTCCCCCGGGAAATGTCCCGTGCGGGGCAGGAAGCTGGTGGAGTCTTTGAAGCAAGAGGTCTCCGCGGCGAGCCGCGAGGCTCCCACAATTCGCAAGACAGATCCAGATTCGGAGATTCGGAGATTTGGAAGTGATATGAGCTATGGTCAATACTCATGGTCAATAACCATTAAACACGGGGCTAGTCATCCAATGGTGATTTAATGGGATTTGTTTCATAACCATGATTTTTGGATCCTTATTATGGATGGGATGACCATCAACCATATAGTGAGTATTGACCATGGCTCATATGAAGTGATAAAGGAACTATGAAAGAAGATGAAAAACGTTTGAAAGTTGTGATTATGTTCTGGTGATGATGTTATATGTTTTGATCTTGAAGGAATTGAATGGAGAAGTGTTCAAAAGACTCAATCTTAATAAAGAGCAGGAGGATGATGACGAGGATTGTGGTAGTCTCCTGGTCAACCTACCCTGACCTCAAAAGTTGCCAGAGGAATCTCGTGAACTGAGTCGCCTCGATGAGGAAAGGCGTGGCAGGGGAGTTCAACAAACGACTTCGCGCCGGTCTCTTCCAAAACGAACTGCAGACCAGTTACAGTTGAAACATATTGAAACATCATTTCAACTGGTCGTATTTCTTTTTGGCAACATTGTTCATCTTCCTTCCATCTCCCTTTCATCACTTTAGTCAGCCTGCTGTTGCTTGAAATCCGTTGTTTGACCACACGGAGGTCCCGAGCACTTTCGCAGCTGCGTGTGTCAGGGAATCTCAGAAGACAGTTGGTGATTGCTGACTCACGCGGCTGGTTAGATTCTGTGGAAGTTAGTTGGGCAATTCGCTCAAATGCGTTTTCACTTTTATCCACCTGTGCATACTAATGTTTTCATTTGCATGTACTTGTGCACAGTGTACCAGAATTGAACATGTTTCAGACAATTGAATTGATATACGTAGTGAGTGCAATTACCATAAATCCATATAAATCCAATAGATTAGATTCCAATAGTACTTGTCAAATTGCCAGTTGTTTGTCAGCAACCCGTCTCAGTTGCCCAGGTCTGAATCTGGAAGCGCGCAGCTGAGGGAGGAGTTACAGGACTCCAGGACAGCTCTCGACCTGTAGACTTTGGATGTTGAGGACTCAACTGTGAATTTTACAGCTCTCAACTGTGCTCATTTGATGAAGCTTTGGTACGAGCTTTTTGCGGCAGCTTTGCATCCTGCAAATGTCAGCAAGACTCCACATACCAACACACCTTTCGGCTTGGTCCGCTTTGGTCCCGTTTAGTCGATGTTTTCTCTTCGGCTTCACATTTCAGCTGTCGCCAGGCTCGATTTGCAGACACTGCGAGAAGAGCTGCAGCTGCTCCAGCTGTCTCGGCCGGGGCGTCTAGCGGTGCAGAGTGTCACCTGGAGTCTGTTGATCCAGGTGACACTCTCATCACCATGGCCAAATGTGCCCTCAGGTCCAGTGAAACTGAGAACCTCGAGTTGCATGATGAGCTGCAGCAAGCAAGGTGGAAGAACTCAGCAAACGTTTTCGCTGCACCACAGTTGTGCCACAAATCTCCACGAATTTCTGCCAAGATCTGGCAATTTCTGTTCAGGTCCGATTGCATCAGCGAGCTCCAAGCGCGTTGTGAGCCCGGAAGCTCAGAGACCCAGTCGAGTCCTGAAGGTCACGCCTGGCGGTCGGCCATCGGAAGCTTCGGTAGATGATTCGCACCACGAACCGATACGAACCGAGGGAATCGGAGCGATGCAGCGAATTGGAGAGCCAACTTGCTGATGTGAGGTGTGTGAATCGTTATGAGACCATCTTAGACCAGGGTTGGAGGAGCCCCCAATGAAATCACTTCAGCGCTAGTTTTGCGAGCGCTAGATCGCCTTTGCTAAGTCTTCAACCAAACACGTGTGCTTTGGACATCTTTGGACGTGCAGGCAGCAAGTGTCTACTGCAAAGGCTGAAGCCCAGGAGGCAGTGGAAAACGGTGATTTCCATCGGGTCCTCCAGATCGGCTCCCATCCGATCCCATCGGCTTCCCAGGCACGTGCTGCAGCAAAGCGTCATGCGGAAGAGCATGCACGAGAGGCTATTCCTCGACGATTCTGACATGGTCATGAGAATTATTTGATCTATAGGTTTATTTGATGTAAAAAGTGTTTCCACTATCCATGGTTGTTTAAAGTTTCATAAAGTTTCCACTTTCCATCTCTTGCCTCTTGCCCTTTGGATCCCTTTGGACCGTGCCAGGCCACCGAGGTTGCTTCATTGCAACTCAGCTTGGCACATGCAGCGGATGAGGCAAATATCTGGCTGCGACCGGAGATTTGACATGACAGAGTTGGCAAATATATTGTGTCCAGCTGGTTTTGTAATCATCATTACAATCATTGCATATTCATTACATATTCCATGTTGATGCATGTTGATGCTATAATCCCAATGAACTTGCCGATCATGTTTTGGTATCCGTACAACTCAGTGAAGCGTCAGCGAAATCAATGGGACCCGCTTCAGGCAGCTCGAGCCTCTGCATCCCTGGCAGAGGCAAGGCAGTCCAAGCTGCTTTGCACATGTAACAAATGCAGACAATTCGGCGCTACCGATAAGCTGTGATTTGCTAAGTCTATCAGTCTATCTAAGTCTCTATGTCAGGTGAAGGCACAAAAGAATCAGGACCAGAGTTACAGTGGTAGTGGTGATGTCAAGGATTTGTTCAGGCAAGTCATCAGGACGTATGATCTGTATGGATGTGGATGTAGGAGCTCGCAGTGCCAAGCTTTGCAGCTGCACGTGCTGTGGAGATGGCTTTGGGCCGTAGAGAAGAGGTGCCAGTCGCAAAGTCGGAGAGGTTTGGATCCAAAATGGAAACAAAAGAGAAATACACAGAAAGAGCATGAAAGAACATCGTTTCTATTTGTTTCGATTCCATTTTCCCAGGTTTTCCATGGTTTTCCTCGTTTCTCTGAGGGCGTGAGTTCTGCCCTCGCGCAGGCGGCACGACGCGTGCTGTCTACACTCTTGGCCTCGCAGTTGGAGTCGCTGCTGCGGCAAACCTTCGACGCCTGGCACGCCGCCAAGGCAGAGATCACTTTGATCTTTGAATATCTTTGATGTCTAGATATGTTTAGATATAAATTAGATATTAAATTATATAAATCCAACCATCAAAGATCGCTAGTTTGGTCATCATTCCTCTTTCCATAATCTAAACAGATCTGTATGCGGAATTGAGGAGGCAGTTTTCCTGACATCTTTGCTGACAGGCATCATCAGCTCGTGAGGAAGCTTTGGAAATCAAGGCAGGATTTCAGACAAAGTAGCCACTTGCAGAGGACCATAGAGTGCAGCAGAACATCATAGTGCCCTAGTGCCCTGCGATGCTCTTGGAAGGAAAAAGAAGTTGCTAAGATAGCGACTGAGTTGTTGAAGAGCGAAGCTACTCAGATGCTGATGACGCGCAAGGAAGAGGCTAGATATCTGTGTCGCAGATCTTAATGACTCGACGCTAATCCACATTTTTTCGCCTTAATCTCAACAGGTCTTGTTGGTGTTTGTCGAAGCTATATAGGCTAGGCTATAATTATAGTTCATAGATCCTTCGCCATGAACGATTTGTTTGCTGAATCACTTGGTGCAGACCCTGCGACACTGGGTGGCAACATTGCTATCTTCGTCAGCAGAGACGCTGATGCTGAACACTTTTCGTGCTTGGCAGTCTGCAAAGGCCCAGTCAGATCCGGGGGAAATCTGATGATACTTGGAGGGAGGCGACAAGCTGTATCTGGTCAAATGGTTTGCTTGTAAAATCTTGTAAGTTACACTATATTGAATCCTATTGAATTGATATTTGATATCAGTAGATTATGGCTCTTCACTACTTTGCAATGACGAAGAGCAAATCTTTACGTTTCAGTGATTAAATTTCAATCGCTGCTGCGAGGATCTTCGCTTGCAGGAAGAACAGCTCCAGGAAGCTCGAAATCAAAGGTGCGCCTGGATCAAAATGACAGACCTGACCTCCTGCAGCATGAATAAGCAAGCATCAATCAAACTCAAACTGACACTACATCGTGGTGCTGCTGCCTGCTGCAGATGCGTCCAAAAACCTCTTACAGTAGGCACTTGTACTTTGTCTACTTTGTCACTTTAGCGTTGACGTGCAATGCTCTGAAGAAGCACTTTGGATTGATAGGCTGATAAACTCCGAGAGTCTGCAGACTTTGAAAGATGAACTACAGGAAGCTTTGCCACGCGCTGAGACAACTGAGACTGGTACAGTCTTTGTGCAGAGAATTTTGTGAAAATTGAGAATTGTCACTGTTTCAAAACAGAAGCCCTTTGTCAAAGAAAACTGTCAGTGCTTTGCGTCCGTCAAAGGTTTGTCAACTTGCAGTGCTTGCCACCAGGTCTCAAGAGGCGAAGCTAAGAAGCCTGAAAGATGAAGTGCACGAAGAGAGGCCCTGTGGCAGTACTATGGCAGTACTATGGCAAATCTACCCATGGCAAAGTGCTGTATTTCTTCCAAATGTGTTTGATCGGAGTCACAATTGCGTAGGAACGGTTTGCCGACTGTTCCCTGACTTGGATGCTCAGGACCAACCAGATGAACGAACTGGATAAGTTGAAAGATGAGCTTGAAGATTTGAGGCAAATGTTCTGTTTCGGCCTGGCATTTCTCAGAGATTTACTACCCTTAAGGTTTCAATTCAGCTGCCTGTCTTCTCTCACACGTGGTAGCTGATGTCCCTTTCTGGCCCTGCTCACCAGGTTGTATGTTGGCCTTTCCACCAGTAGAGTTAATTCATGTTAATTCGTATTTCTTTGTATAGACAATCTGCAAAGCCTTAGATCAGATCATCTTTCGCGTATCCCCAGAGATTTAGAGTTCGTTAGTTTCGCCCTGTGTTTGGATTTAGCGGCAGGTCCAATGAAACCAAGAAATTCAAAGCTCTGAGAGAAGAGTTGTGGGAAGCTGAAGTTGCCGACTGGAAGATCCCTGCTTGTTCATTTACAACTGTAATTGTTTTCTTTTTTGATGACACCGGTCAGCAGCACTTAGACTTGAGAAATTTGCCATCGGGTTGCAACGGCAATCAGTCCCTGGATTTGGCACACAATTGTCTCGGTATGTCTCTCAGTGAGGTCCAGCAAATCTGTTTCCATAGAGACATTGCAAGATGAACTGCAAGCAGCCAAGTGATGTCCTCAGCAAATCTCAGCAATGATATGCAATGATTCAAAAAGATGTTTTTTTATGTTTTTTTGTTCCCCAGCATTCCCCAGCTGTACAAACCTTCAGGCAGCAAACTGCGCTGGCGTGTGAGGAGGCGAAGGAGGTGCGAAATCGGTGAACACATCGGCTGTCAACCATCAATCACCATGAGTTGCAGAAGCAACGTTGCTTGACTTAGGCACGTGTTGCTCACGCCAGTGCTGAGGCTCAGGCAGGACGTGTCAATTTCTGGTCAACTCAAATCAGAACGCTAATGTATATGCTGGAATTTAGAAAGAATGAAGTCGGCTGACAGAAATATGTCCTTTGAAGCTTTGTGTTTGTAGCAGGGATGCGTGGGAACAGCCTTTGCTTTCAGCGCATATTGACAGTCTTAAAGCTGTAACGTCAACTTGACAAGTTGTGAAAATCGTGGCAAGGTGGCCCAAAGCTCCAAAGATGTTGCGGAGGCAGTGGAGGCGGATGTTGATGGTTTTGAAGATATCAAATCAGCCATGAACATCACTGCATTCCTTGTTGGAAAAAGATTTTTGGGTGGATTTTCCTTGTCTTCCCAATAGGTAGTATGTTGCTATTGTGTTGCTTTATGGCCATGGTATACATAGCAAAGTGGTGTGAGCCTTCCAATCAAAGGGGTGAACTGAGACGTTCACTCTACGATGCATTCCATCCGCGAGCCTCATGACTTTGGATAACCGAACGCTAAGATGCAGCCCCAGACTTTGGGATAGAGCATGCGACGATAGTGAATTCAAGCAAACTGTTCAGGTTGAGCTGTTTATCTTCTGTTTTCACCGGTGTCAAAACCCTTGGACAGGCGAGACGAAGGGAACAGGCACGGATGAGAATCACCGAGCAATTAGTTTTGCGAGACACTAAATTCTGGGCTGCATCACGCTTCATAAATTGGCCAAAGTTGTGGATCGTTCAGTACATACATTATATTATTATATTATGTAGAATAATAATGCATACATACATAGTAATTATATTATATATTATATTATGTATATTATATATATACATACTTTGGCCATATATGATTATGATGATGATGATGATGATGGATGATGATGATGATGATTGATGATGATGATGATGATGGTGATGATGGTGATGATGGTGATGATGGTGATGGTGATGGTGATGGTGATGATGATGACGACGACGACAAAATTCTCTTGCATCCTGGTTTGGTGCAGATGGCGACTTCGTTGTTTCTTCCAACCCTGATTCACCTGTTGCTCTGCTACTAGTTTCCTCATTGCAGGAGCTTGCAGTTCCAAGCTTCGATGCAGAGCAGGCACAAAAGAATCAGGACCAGAGTTACAGTGGTAGTGGTGATGTCAAGGATTTGTTCAGGCAAGTCATCAGGACGTATGATCTGTATGGATGTGGATGTAGGAGCTCGCAGTGCCAAGCTTTGCAGCTGCACGTGCTGTGGAGATGGCTTTAGGCCGTAGAGAGGAGGTGCCAGTCGGCGCAAAGTTGGAGAGGTTTGGAATTTGGAACCTTCAAGGCAGAAAAATTAAGAAACCAAGACAAAAAAAGGCTTCCATCTGCCCCCATGATTCCAGGTCTTCGAATTTTCAGGTTTCCCTTTTAACTCTTCAAACTCTTGGGAATGATCTTTAAATGACTTTAAAAAATTCTCAGGTTCCAGGCAGAGTTGCTCTCAACGTTCTCGCAGGCGGCACGACGCGTGCTGTCTACACTCTTGGCCTCGCAGTTGGAGTCGCTGCTGCGGCAGACCCTCGATGCCTGGCGCGCCGCCAAGGCAGACGCGAAGCTGAACCCTCGGTGTTAAATCTTTGGGGTGGGTTAGATGATATGAGATGATTTGGGTAGCGTACGAAACGAAAACCACATGGGATGGCGGTGTTATTTATGAATTACACGTCTTGCTTGCATGTTTTGTTGAGCACTTCAGTTTCAAACTCTAGAGTGTTGTCAATAATTGAAACAGATTGAGGATAACAGGTCAAACAGCAAAGCTGACGCCACTTGGCGACAGGCTGACCGTCTTCAAAGTGAACTTATTGTGGCACAAGCACAGGAGCTCAAAGCAATGAGGCGCTCAGCAGAGCTGGATGCTGGATGTCGACTGCTACAGATGGGGATGGAAATCTACGGAAATGGATGGAAATAACATCTGCATGGCCGTTGAGAGTCACTTCTGCATTTGATGCCGCCACAATGGAAGCACCCACGTTTCAGCAGCAGGACGGATCTGCAAGAACTGCAAACGCAAATGAAAAAGGCAGCTGTTGTGAAGTTCAGTTTGTGTGTATGTCGCCCATGTGTACTGTCAATATCTGTCAATGATGCATTCCTTTTTCACTCTTTTTCAGCGTCATTGTTTTGCATGATCTGCAATGGAGCTGGATGCGTTGGGTCATTCACATGATGTTTCACTACGGCCAGGCACCATCAGGTCCAGCAGAAGTTTCGCCGATGCAGGCCTAAGACAGATAAGACAGCGAGAAACAGATATGATATGCTGGTGTTGCATGGTGTTGAATGGGATTGCTCTAGACTCTATGGTGTTTTATCCATGGCTTGCAAAAACTTTACATCAAATCTACCATGGGAACAATGTTATGCACAGGATACGATACACCCTTTGTCCTTTTCCAGAACACAGATATCGACTACCATGACGTGCTTACTTGTTTGTGAGTTTAAGGTTCCTTTCAAGATCATTGCATCAAATTGCATTATCCAATATCCGAACTGGCACACAGCATGAATCCGTGGCAAGCGTGTGGGATTGTTTGTTGAGATATTCAGGGATACTTTGATAAGTCTCCGATCATGTGTTGTTGCAGATTGTTACATTATGTTACATTCAATCCTTTCTACTTCAAATTGGCGCCCTGTGCAGGGAAAAGAAGTTGCTAAGATGGCGACAGAACTGTTGAAGTGCGAAGCTTCTCAGATGTTGATGATGCGAAAAGAGGAGGCCGTCCACCGCAAAACCCGGGTGACGCTACAAGTCGGTCTGTAAAAAAGGGTTCTGCTGGAGACATCAGCAGATACTTTGCTGCCAAGCAATATGAAGCACATCTTCTTGATGATTGCTATTGTGGAAAGTAATCTCCACCTGCACTGGCACTTGCGCTCGTTGAGCTGATGCCTGGGCCTAAACATTAAAGACATCCTTTTTGCTCCGATCTTTGCATTTGAACAGGCTACAAAACATTCGAAAACTCCTCGAAGCGTTTGCACGAGCGTGAAAGATGTTTCTACGCCTGGACCCTCTCTTTCAGTTTATTTGACCCTAGTTTTGGAGATTGAAAACGATCTCCATGTTTTCAAATATAAACTCATCACATGCTGCAGCAGCAACAAAGTTTGGACAAGGTGAAGCTGAAACGGTTTCCAAAGCATTCAACGACCCTAACTGATGGTCCCTGCCTTTGATTCAAACAGTTTTCTTGCCGGACTCTGCAGTGAAATGCCATAACTCAGAGTTTTTGGAGAGATACAAATGATGTAGATTAAAAGTATATATGTAGATTGTTAAAAGAAATTATTGACCTGTCAATAGAACACATTTCAGAGCTGGCAGGTCTTACGACGTTGGGTTGCGTCCTTCCTGGCTTCACAGACCGAGCTGCTGTTGCTCAACATGCTGAGAGCCTGGAGGAGCATTGCCAATCAATAGACACAAAAGGCGAATGGGGAACATGGGGGAACCGTGCAAACCATGCCACTTTGCTCATTGACAAAACATTTTTTTGCGTGTGCGAAATGTTTTGCTGTTTCAGAGATATCTAGAATATGATAGAATATTGGTACCTTGGTCTGGCATGATCTGGCCATATCTGGCCAATCGCTGCTGCTGTCCAAGCATTTGAGGTCAGCATTTTAGTCACCCGAGAAGTTGCAGTTGGAACGGTCATTTCACAAGTATCCTTGGAGGAACCAGCAAAAACGAAGCAGCAATTGGTGGAAGAATCATGACAGCCATGACAGCCCCAAGTTGTAAACATTCCACCATATTCCATCATTTGATCCACTTTCCGCCATGGTTCGAAGCTTGGACCTGGAGGCGAGGTTGTGATCCTGGTAGCACGTTCTCATGCGAATGCTATGCAGATGAGTTTGCCAAAACGTGCTCTGGCGCAAATAAAGCCAGAGGCTGGACACCTCGCCACCTGGGCCACCTAAGTTGACCCACGCGGCAGGTTTGTTGGGCACCACCAAGGGCATACCATCGCCTCATGGCCCATGTCAGATCCTCATCTTGGTGCCCAGAGTAATGCTCAGAATGGCAGAGATTTGAGTTCATGATGTACATGGCTTCGATTCATGCTTGGAGGTTTCAAACGGTTTCGTTGCAAACGGTTCCATCAAAGTCGAAATGTTACGGTGTTTCAGGGGTTGTCTTTCCAAGAGTGACGTAGGAATGGTCGAACAAAGAGGATCAGAAGGTAAGGGTGCCAAATGGGACCCTGCTGCATCCTGATCCCTGGTTCGAACTTTGACTCGCTGGTGAACGATCAACAACTTGTTTGCCAAATTTCGGAGAACTCGTCGGGAATGAAGACTATCAGAGCAGTTGTGAGCCCATAGCTCAAAATACCGGGCGCCTCAACTGCTCCGAAAAACTCTCATGTGTCAATATCAATTAAGCCATTGGTTTTATTGGAATATTTTTTCTGGTCATATCATAACCTCATATTGACATCCCTCGTTGCTTCTTGTTGGTCATCAAGCTTGCGCAAATGTCCTTTGCTCCGTGATTCTGGGATTGATCCAAAAAGTACTGAGGCGGTGGCTTTTGAAGCGAAAGGACGGTTTTTTGGGCTGGGATGGACCGATTGAACCATACCAGAATCATCAGAATCCCTCAGCACCCAGTGCTCATCCCTGCACATTGGCGATTTACCAGGAAATAAATCACCGAAACGATCCGAAACGTGCAAACGAAAATGGTCAGCTCCCATGTTACTTGACTTGTGATTTCGGATGATTTCGGGATTGGTCAAAAAATGAAGCACACGGAGCCACTGATTTTGGAAATTTTGCTGAATTTATCACCTCATGATTTTGGTAGCTGTTCGTTGTACACTATCACCGTAGCATATCGTAGCATATCGTAGCATAAAGCATCGAACAATGCCATTTGTGTTACATTGAATTACCCGTCTGTGCCACGAAGGACATGCCCCCGATGCCAAAGCTGCAGCGGAGCTGGACGAATTGGTCTCTCAGCTACATCGCAGGAGATGTCATCCGTTTCGGTCAGGGATCAGAGATAAATTCACAGAATCGGATTGCAGGAGCTGATTGTCCAACCATGTTTAACCACGGATGCGCATAGTTTATACATGTGTATACACGTGTGCTTGAATAGTGTCAATTGGCGTCATTTAAAACATGGCACAGTGGTCAGATGTTTTCCATGTTCAAGAGTGCTGTAGGGGTCTTGAGTTCCTTCGTTTGGTTCCACTGAGGCCAAACAGCAGGACTTCCTCGGTCGCGAGACAGACGAGGAGAGATCTGCAGCTATTTGCGGTGACAAACTTGTGCGTGTTCCACTCAGGTAAGTCAAGCCCTTCGTTTTTCCAAGTCATCACATTTTGAATGTGCAATTCATCAACCATCATCAACCTGTGGTGACTCGGAAATATTGATGTGGTCCAAGGAGAGTATCTCTCCAAGATTCACCGCCAGGAGCTGTTAGAAGATATCCAGGATGCAGAACAGGAAGATGCCCAACCCATTGAGGACGATTCCCCGAGTCCCGTAAAGCTGAGCTCCAAGCTGATGAGGGGATCCAACTTCGCTTCTTGATATCAAAATTAGATTTATCTTGCAAGATAGAACAGTAAATTACAAAATCCGGAGGGAAGTGAGAGGGAAGCAAAATGGAAAGGAGGAGTCAGAAAAGGACATGCAAACGGCAAAATCCCACTCTGCTCAAAAGAAGCTTTGGGAAAACCCACTTCTTCATCTTACACAATCTTTGACACATATTTCTTACACGTACACATCTAGATACATGTTGCGATTTTTGTTCTGCTCTCTGGCCATCCGTCGTTAAGTTTCTTCACCGGCCGGGGGTTTCCCCCCGGATGATGTTTTGCCGGAAGAAGTCTAACATAGTCTAACGGTAATTATTAAACATTTACACAGCTGGAGGGTTTCACTGTGAAATCTGACCACAACTGAGCAGGAACCTTTACCGCCACCGCCAGAGCCAGTAGAGGCTGGAAGTCGGATTGTTGCAGCAAGGGAAATTCATGGAATTTGGACTTTGACCTGAAATGGCACGGCTATAGGCTGGCTATAGAGAATTACAATGTATGTCAGACTGTCATGCACCTTCAGAATTGATAAAAAGTTGCAGTCACGGACAGGAACCCTCTGAGCCCTTCGATGAGCTGGCAGATTCCATGACAGAGGCGATTGTCGACCTGATCAGCGTGGCTTTGGGAGCCCGGTAAATTCACAGCAACGCCAGGTTCAGTGCTGCTCCAATCATTACGCTTTCAGTCATGAGCCACAATGGTATTCAGCAGATGAATTGTGATAGTCGTGATAGTTGTGTGCTTGGTTGAACCTGCACTGGTCCAACAATTGTTTTTCTGGGGGTTGGATCATGTGCAATTGTCCCAGTGGTGAGGCGTTTCCTGTGAGTGTTGGCACTGTGTTGGCAGTCAAGCATCACTTGGAAGATGTCATACAATGCCATACCATGGCACAATCTGAACCCTTGTGAAAATTAGTTTTGCGTTTGCTTGAAATTCACCAAATGATTTCACTTACCATTCATTTCCTCTGCTGATTTTGTCATTTGGCTACATCCGGGATGCCAGGCGCCCAAAGCAGGCCTTGTCATCTCACTGCCGTCTGGTTCAGGTCCAGGGTTTGCTGGGAGTGAGGAGTGCCTCTGGACTCTGTGAAATTCTCCACGAGACAAACAAGATAGGTATGTGACGACATGTCTGCGTCATATTACAGCATGGACCCCGAAAAGTCCGACGAAGCTGTGCATGTCAGGTATTCCAGGGCCTCCTGAGCGCGAAGCACAAGTGCCGCATGGCTAGACCTGGCGTGAGTAGAAAGGGAACGGCTCAAAGTGATTGAAACCCCCCTTAGAAGCAGATGGTTAAGCCAAACATGTGAAAATTATAGTTTTACTGAAGATGGCTTATCATCAATGACCACAGTTGCAGTTCTCTCGACACCCAGTTCTTGAGCCAGCATGTTTGAGAACAAAGACTCTGACTGCCCACTTGATCCACTGGCCACTTGGAATCTGGGGAATCAGCAAATCACCAGTTCTGGACCGAGGATGGATCGTTTAACCACCGTGGTGGGAAAGCTTCAGGATGCCGCCAACACTTTGGAAGGTGGACCCTCTGCTGGATCCTTCCTACAGGTGGATGGGGCTTCCATGGCCATGGTTGATGCGGGGTCTCAAATCAGCCACAAAGCCGCTTGCAGAAACAGTTCAGTTGACGTTTGTCATCCTTTGGAACTTCAAGACACTTGTATTTGTCTAACATTGGAGGATGATCCTCCATTCCGTCATGACATTCCACATATTTTCTACCACCTTCCGTTCTGGCCAGGTGACTCCTGCAGCATGGTGTGAAGCTCAGAGATGTCCTCAACGATGCCAGGAATATTGTTACAACATGTTCAATATGTATTAAGGATGCTGCTTCATGCTGCTTCGGTGTGAGAAGTATTGTGGTGAAGTGTTCGATTTCAAAACCAAAGCTGGATGAATGCTTGACCCAAATATCTCGAGACAGGAATGAAGGTCGTACTTGTACTTGTTGGTTCGGATATTCTGAACGAACTTGCTATTAAAGTAGATTCCATTAATGCTTCAGTAATTAGTGGTTGTATTAAGGAATTAAGGGGCAGGCCTACTACTCCATGAGGTTGTGTGTATCTTGGAAGAGATATAATTATCGTACACTTGTTCCTGACATTCCTTTCATGATTGTGAGCTGCAACACCATTTGCTGTTATACGCAGATTATGCGCTAGAGCAGCTGAGGTACGGGCGAGACTTCCTGTGACAGCAAAAAAAGTGGCTGAGCGTCGCAGCGCTTTGAAGCTCATATTATCGCACTGCTGGACCGGATACTTTGTGATACTTTTTGAGAGACTCGCAGTGTTTTCTAATGAAGAATTGTGTGTGTGTGTGTCGGAGTCTTTCAGATGCTTCCATATGTCAATCTGCTAGCTGATTGCGTGTCGCTGCCATGTCACATGTGTGTTCAAACCAGCTGTTGCTTGAGTTGTTAAATTCTCAGGTGTTCTTGGTTATGTTGCCACTTAGACTTAGACATCAATCTCTGGATAGCAACACCAGGTCTGATGGATGATCAGAATACCAAACCAAAAGGAGTCCAAGACAATCCCCATGTCAGGGAAGGCTGCAAAGTTGTAGTAAACACTGCAAGTACCCTTCAAGTACCCTTCAAGCTCCAGCACATTTTGAACCGCCACTCCTACAGCCCCAGCATCCCACCTTAATCGTTTCCATATTTTCCATCGAAAGATCTTCGGCCAATTGGCCCATTTTCGACTCATGTCCTGCCGCCATCGCAGAGCCTTTCGGGTGACCTTGGTCATTGGATGGACAGTGTCACTTGGTAGAGAACAGAATGGCGCATGACATAAAATGATCATCCATGATCATCCCAAAAGCTGTGGATACTTTTGGTTTCTCAGAATGGAAACAGATTAAACAGACATGGATTCTCCCTGGATTCTCCCCGTGTTGCCAGAAAATCTGAACAGATCCGAGGCATCTTAGTGCGACTCTGTTCGCGCAGCCAGGAATCAGCAGACGCGCTGCAATGGCAGGAGCCGGGCATGTGGATCGAGTCGGGTAGGACCAGGATGGACCAGGTACAGTTGAGCTTTGGGTGCCGTGTGTTGGGCTGTCTGGTATGTGGCATGTGAGTATTGTGAGAGAGTTTTGTGTGATTTTATTGTTGAAGTGAGATAGTTTCAAAAGTGGTTGGCAGACAAGCACAGACATTCTCTCATACAAAATCATTGGTTTACTTAGTAGTTTACTTGTTTGTGTTGTTTTTGGGGCAAACAAATACCTGCTCACCCATGTTTCTGACACGGCCATCAATTCCAAAAGCAGGACCTTGTGTTTCCATCTTCGGAGCAGCATCTCCAGCACATGCAAAGAATTGGTCTGGAAACCCGTGTCGAGCGTTCGGTGGATGCTGGAACCAGCTTGTTACATGAACAAACCAGATTGAGAAAGGATGTGGAAATGGCATAATTAGTAGCTCTGTGTAGAACCAATCACTACAGACTGAATGTGGTGAACCGTGAAGAACTATGAGTGTATTGGAAGCATCATGAACAAGGCAGCCTCGAATTGTGACATGGTGCTTTTGCTCAAAGATGCGCTTTGTTTCAAGGATAGTCACTTAGTCGATACTTTGTTCAAGGTTCAGCACTTTGGACATAGTTACTAGTCTAGTTGTGATGCAAAGACCAAACGCATTGGACGGACCGAATCGCCATAGCTGTTCCGACAAGATTCCTCGTGTTAGATTTTTGTAATTGGCAGATTTGGACAAAGGTGGCATCGTGCTTGGAGTTTTGAGGCCATGTTCTGTCACCGGGGGATGCATCACCAAGGTTTGATGTCATTTGGGGCCTGAAGACAGACGAGCAGGTCATTGAAAGTGAGGAGAAGGATGTGGAGGAGGACAGCTTCACCCCAGACACAGTGAGCTCAAAGACATGATTAGCATTGACGCAGACATGAATTTACACATGAAGAAGCCTTCACCTTCAAGTAATATGTTCAAGCACGTTCAGACTTTAAGTTTTTCCTCTGTATTGTCACGCGTTATCGCTCTGCGGATGATTTTTCTGATTGGCCAAGCCAAAGGATTTGAAGAACCAGCCCTGGACAAACTTCTTGGACCGCGCACGCCTCATGAACCTGGAGGCAAGAAAAGTGATGATTGGACTGATTCGCTATCCGTTTCAAAGTGTCAATTTGTGAGTGAAATATGAGGGAGGTTTCAAGTTGATCTCCGCAAGTGTTTCTATCGTGGTTTCAGAAGTGAGGCTTGATTTGATTCCAGCTTAACTGCGGTCGACAAGGGTTTGAATGATTGGATTACAAAGCTGTGGTTCCAGTTGCCTTTCGAGTAGTCTTTTATCCGATATCTCAGTGAATTTCTGGTTGATGACTGAACCGCATTGGTATCTGAAGTCTGACACAACTTGATTGCGGCTGCAGCAATGTGCAATAGCATTCTAACATATTTCTAACTACTACAACTTCCACGAGAGTGTTTCGTACACGGTTCAGCCAGTTAGGTGCCTTCCGGACGATGGGAATCCATCCGTTGATCACCTTACGAATCAAGTACCCTAGCGCCCTAGGAGATCCTAGGAGCATGAGATGTTTGGGAAGCGTCAGCTTGCAGGCCGTGTTACAAGCAGAGGAAGATACTGTCAAGGCAGAGGAGAAGGTGGGACTATCACCGTGCCAGTGATGGTAAAGACGTTCTTCTTGTCTTGAAACAGCGGTTTCAGCAGTTTTCTTCAGGTATCAACAGTAGTAGAGCTATTGTCTTTTTTGCAGAATCCTATTGACTCTTGTTCACCCTGTTTGTCACGTTTTCAACTTCGCCACTGTCGATTCACGAGCTTGTGTAGATAGATTTGTACATTATTGACATGAAGTTTTTGTGCCTCCTTGGTGCACAAGTATTTGTGCATGAATCGACCGTGACCTAAAACAGATCATTCAGTGGGTGTTCAACCACAACGTCATATTGCCAAGTTCTGATCATGAACAGACCATAGCAGACCCATGTATTCGAATTCAACACCTTGGATGTCTCCATCTCGGCCCTCGGAAAAGGATGTTGAGCGGACCGCCAGCAGAGGGAAGGCCCTTTCTGTTTTTCAAGCGGGACTCTCCGCGGTTTCCTTTACGAAGCAGGTGTGTCCGATATTCAAATATCCATAATCATGAATTGCTTCATGGAGTTTCAAGGCACAAGGGGTTTTGTGGGTCCTGTCAGTCCTCAATTTTCAGGCACCCCTTCCTCTTTACAATGCTTCAACAACCTAAATTTGTTGCAATTAAAAAGTCCAAACAATGTGTTGATCCCGGCCCCAATTGTATTCCTTTTAAAGAACAGCAATATAGGCTTGTCTTTCTATGTTGTGGTGTTTTCGCTATACTTGAATCTCTTGCAGGGCAAAGTCATAAGATCCAATGTCCCTTCCTGGTGGCTGCAGTCACAGGCCTACCAGCAGGATCAGAAGTACCAAAAGGACGAGCAGCGTCTGAAAGGTTTCAGCAAGCTGGCCGAGAAGCTGCGCTTCAGCAACCAGGCGCAACGGGTGCCGAACCGTGGGGTTGGCATCTATTTTGGCAACTGCCATCTCAGCCTTTTGGCCAGCAGATGCAGAAAACTAAGCAAATGATAGGATTTGCAGTTCAGGAAAGGCAACGCATGCATGGCAGCGAAAGAATGAGAGTCATTCACCTTTCGAGACAGAGTTTGCCGAACATGTCGATAATCTGTCGATAATTAGTACGTTTGGCGGCCCTTTTGCAGGTATATCAACAGCTTCATAGCTAGATTCAGAAAGTTCATGGGAGGTTATCCGCTGAGTGTTAGTCCAAGTTTCCTGTTGAAACTGAATGGTTCTGATAAGTCGAGGTGCGCTTGCGGCACAATAAAATATGAGCATGTTAAAGGTAAAATCAGGAGTCAATGTAGGCAAATGTAGGCAAATAATGCTGGCAAATCAGATTTAGCACGAATAGTATGGAACATAGTCATATAATGTTATGTATCATATTATATATCATATCTCATTATGCGTATACTTGGTGAAGACAATGATAGTTGATCAACTGAGACCTGGAAGAATCTGGAAGCCTCATGTCCAGGAAAGCGAGGAGCTGAGCGAGCTGCAGGGTAAGTTGTCGACCCTGCAGTGATGCCACGGAAAAAAAGGGTTGACATTGGCTGACCAGGAAGGGATGAGCCAAGTGGATATACTGTGTGCATATTGTGCATATGTCCTCGGGGAAGACAATGGATAGGTTGCTGCCACAGAATGGCTAGACGACACAGGATGCCGGAGACCGGATACTACCGCTCTCACCACTTGCATACATATTCCCGTCTGGCGCTTTCACTTTTCAGTTGCTCAAAGAACACAGCATGGTCGAATTTGGCAAGATACAGAAACTATCTCATCCACAGAGGCAATACACAACAGAACCCGCAAATCCCACATTCTAGATAGGTTCGGTTTACGTATGACATATTGCAGCGGTGAATCTCGGTGAATCTATCGTTTTGCTTATGAAATCCACAGAAGCATCAGCCAAGAGGAGATGACATCTCTGACAGCTCACCGACAATCTCACCCCATCCAAATTTTCTCATTGCTTTTCAGCTTCAGTTTTCCATGAGACTGAACCTCAGTCATGGATTTGCCAAAGGAGCTGACTCTCGGCAATATCTTGATTCGTGTGAACCTCTTACAGTTACTGGAAGTGATGTGTTCTATGCTTTCAGGATGTGAAACACGTGCAGCAGACCTCACCTGAGGAATTTCCCCCGGCTTCTTACGGTGGGTCATTCCAACCATCAGCCCGAGACTTTTCTGAAGCTGCTACGCACCTTCAACATAAAGGATGCGGAGAGCGCTGGAAATGGGCAAATGGCGCATTCACATACATTCACCAATTCTCGTCATGGTCAGCAATGCTAAGTGCAGAAACAAATGCCAGGTCCTCAAAACTCAGAAGTCAACTGCAAGAGAAGCGGTGATGTATCCGTGTCAGGAGCTGGTAGATGTGCGCAGCATCCCATCCAGCGGCAAGTTCCCTCACTTTAAGAACCACGGCCGCGCAAGTTGACACGGGTGGGAATTTTGCAGCTGGAAACGTCTCAATATTTGGAGGCACGCCATGGTTGCGAGCCAGATGCCCACAAGTGAAGAATGGATCATGTTGCATTACCCGTACTGTCCTGTAGTGAAAAATTCCGAGATTGCAACCTCCGTGCTGCCCTAATCATGGATCCAAGCGTAGCTAATAGAGACACCTCCTTCCTCTGTTTTCACCAAGTGACCGCTGGCTCCCAAACTTTGCCTCAGGAAGAATGCTTTGCAGAAGCTTCTGGAAAGTCAGGGAATTAGCTATCGAACCTTGGCAGCGATCCCAGCAGAAGCCACATGGGATTGCAAGAACCGTGTTTGTACTTCATGTTTATGTTTTTCTGGGGCAGTGTCTCGGTGAAGATTCATCTACATGTTCGACACATGTTGCATTCTAGCATGTCACTGTGATCTTGTACAATCCTTTCGACTTCGGACTTCACGTAGAACCCAACAGTTCATCACGAAAGGTAGCCTAGGCTACCTGAGTTCTATGTACTTTAGTACTAGTTTAGTACTGGGGGAGGTGGCTGCTCCTTTCCCGGAAATTGAGACCCGAGAGTCACGAACGGAGACTTAGGGGGGGGGGGCCCCCCCATTCGATTCCCCCCTGGCCCGCATCTCTTTCTTTCTTTTTCTCTGACTATGTACTTACCTCCTTATCCATCTA